AGCAATGATTCAGTGTTGGGGATACCTGTCTGAGCATTCATTTGTGCCTCCCTTTACACCCCCACCCCCCACTCCAAAAAAAAAAAATAACAACAAACAGCTAAAGTAAATAAACAATGACAATGTTTGACAGCAAAACATTTTTCTTTCGAACACACGTGACCTGGATTCAGACCAACGTATTACAAATTAACATCATAGTTGACAAGAAAAAGAGTATATTAAAAAAATATATGATTTTAAATAAACAAAAAGATAGTTTCATAAAATATTTATTCAGAAAAATGACAGTCAAAAACTGATGAAGCTGTTTGGAGATGTATTCTTATAATACAATAAAATGTTGACACTCCAATTTTAAACAACCCACAAACAGCAATAGAGACAAAAATTAATTAGAGAAATTCTTTTTTTTTTCTCTGTGGAGCAATAATTTTTCACCCCCCCCCCCCTACCGTATTCCCCAACATCGTTACAGTTTCTATTCTTTTTTTTTTTTCTGGGGGAACAAAATTTTTCCCCCCCCCCCCCCCCTACCGTATTCCCCAACATCGTTACAGTTTCTATTGGTTATGCTGAAAAAAAAAATTATAGATGTTTTTAATTTAAAAGGACATTAACTGTGGTCAATTTATGAATATTTGACTGGTTTATGAATTGAGACTGTAGTATTTAACATTCATATATTAGAAGTAATTTTTATTTTTTTTAATAATAGCATACACAATTGGCGCCGGGGACATTATCATTTGCTTATCATTCATTATCCACACAGTTCACATTATCATTTGCTTATCATCTATACTCCACACAGTTCACATTATCATTTGCTTATCATCTATACTCCACACAGTTCACAACCGAGTCTAAATTCACGTGAATGCATTACTGACTAGAAATAATAGACATTGTGTCCTGAGTAATAACAATACAACTCCCACGTGATATTAGACTTTAAGCAAATAAGGAGCACATATCTGCTGGAAAAAGGCATGGGGAGGGGGGTGTGAAGTTGTGGTCAGGACCAGGGGGTGTATATGTAATATGCACAGGACAAAGAAAGGGGGCAGTGGCTAATAGCTGTGGCAGTGGAGAAAGCCTTATTAGACGACAGCAGTGTTGAGTTTAAAACAAAAATTTAACAAAAATTAAGCTCAGACAATTTAAAATGGATGGCTTCATTGGCCATCATATTTTGTCTGTAAGAGAAAAATCATGGGTCTGGGTGATGCGATTTGAGGGGGGGGGGTGGGGAGAGAATATCCGAGCAGTGTGAAAACACAAAGATGAATTACTTTCTCTTTCTGTGCAATAACAAACTGGTTAATCGCAGTTTTCCTGGGTTATTGTTACGCGATCGGTTCAGACAAGGGCACGTAATTACAGGGAGAATAAATGACGCAGTCTCCTGCCCCTGTTCAAGTCACCTTGACCTTTCATCCCCGTAAAATCCTGGCATACACAGTTCGACTGGTTGGCCAACAACTGAAGTTTGACTGGTTGGCCATCCGCTGAAGTTCGACTGGTTGACCAACAACTGAAGTTTGACTGGTTGACCAACAACTGAAGTTTGACTGGTTGGCCAACTGAAGTTCGACTGGTTGGCCAACAACTGAAATTGTTGTACTTCTTAATGTTGTACATTTTATTGTTGTACATCGTATTGTTGTACACCTTATTATTGTACATCTTATTGTTGTACATCTTATTGTTGTACATCTTATTGTTGTACATCTTTTTGTTGTACATCTTGTTGTTTGGCATCTTGCTTGTTCACACCTTGATTTTGTCGAACCCAAGCCATTGAAACGAGACAATCACTCACGCTCGCATACAACAGCGACCTGTACAACAGCACGGTCATTTGCAACAACACATTCGTTTACAACAGCACCTAGCTTACACACGCACACGCACAACATATCACACACCAACAACACGACCCTTCATACTCACACACACAAGTCAACACCCTAACAAACAAAAAAACAGCACTTTTAAAATAATGAACCCATATATACTACCAGCACTGACATCATAGTTTGGGGCATTCACCGGGGGGGGGGGGAAGAGGTGGGGACGGGTCTAGTCTTTGACCAGGAAGATAAAGCATTACAGATTTGCCTTCGAATTGATTTTTTTTTCTTTTAAAATTTTTCTTTATTTTATTTTAAAAAAAAAATTGGGGCATTCACGGGGGGGGGGGGGGAAGAGGTGGGGACGGGTCTAGTCTTTGACCAGGAAGATAAAGCATTACAGATTTGCCTTCGAATTGATTTTTTTTTCTTTTCAAATTCTTCTTTATTTTCATTTAAAAAAAAAATTATTAACAAAATCCATTGACACAGTGCAATTTTGTTTAAAGGCTTTCAAGTCAATCACGTGACTGACACAAACAAACAAGTCAGATAACAAACAAAACATTGAATGGATTGATTTAAATAAAAAAAAACTAAATAAATAAATTATTTGAATTTTTTTAGACCAAAGTGTATATGAAAAATTATGTTAATATATAGAAATATTTGAATATAAGTGGCTAGCATGTGAATAAGTCAATGTTCGTGGTTAGTACAGAGTTAATGACGTCACAAATTCACCATGTTTTGAAAGTCATGTAAAGGGGCGTACCCCTCTGGAGCCTGTAAATAAGAGTTGTTCTGATAGTTGTCTTGATAATAAGGGTAGCCGCGTGATGCGGCCGTGGCGTTGTAGGAGCCATAATATCCGGAACAGCCCTGAAACTGTGACGCCGCCACCGTCGTGGGGTCCGCGTAGCCGGAGGGCCGATACAGTCCATGGGGCAGCTTGTCGTAGGTCGCGGTGGCGCTGACCTGGCCGGAAACCCTTGGGTCACCGTGTCCGTGTTTGAAATACTCAGCACGGGAGTTGGGCATCGCCCCTGAGAACGCGTCCTCGCCGCTGCAGTCGTACGACTTGTGCCCGGCGTACCAATCCGAGTAGCCATCTTTGAAATAACAGTTTCCGGTAGGGGAGTTCAGGCCGGGCACGGCGTACGGGTAGGGCGAGGGCTGACTCGGCGTCTGCTCACCGCCCGGTTTTCCAGTCGGGTTCGGCTTCCGCGAAGACTGCTGGGAACAAGGCTCAGGGGCGTCAGCCGCGTCCGGGCAGTGTGGGGAAACAAGCCGACACTGAGCCGACGCGGTCCCATTGTCCCGTAGGTGAGCAGAAGCGACGTGTCTGGGGTCCTTGCCGTGGTCGGGTCTGATGGGGCCAGGCGGCGCCTTTTGTTGGTCGCGGACGCCGGCATTGTTGTTGTTGTTGGACGTGTCCATACAGTCAACACTCGAATGGGAGAACGCCGGGGACGGCCTCGCATTGAAAACCCCGGGGTATTCATACCCTTGGTTCAAACTGTCGTTTTTCATTTCTGTCGCGTTGCCGTTGTTATGGTAACCGTGAACGCCATCCAGCAACATGGCCGCGTCCTGACGCACGTGGGACTCGGGGAAACGGTTGTGCATCGGGGCCGCCGAGCAGATCGAAGGATCGCCATTGTTGGCCGCCGTCGCCGCATTGTTGATGTTGTAACTGGAGGTGTGCGGTGAGTGTGTGGCTGCGTGACGGGGGTCGACTTTTGAATACTGCGCGTGCTGGAAGGACGAGACATTCGCGTCGGCTCCATTGTTGCTGCCGGCGGCGCCGCTGTAAAAAACATCCCTGAATCCCAGATACTGCTGAGTGGAGGCGCTCTCCATATTGTCCTCCACAGGACACGCCGATGCCGATATGCAAATGCTGCCGCCGTTGCTGTTTGCGCCACGTAAGCCGGCTGGGCCGCCGAAGCCGTGGTACTGGTGTGTATAGTTTGTGTAGTTCTGGTGATAGTACACGTTTCCGCACTGACCCGCGGCCGTCAAAGTTCTTGGGTCGTGCGACGTCATGTTCAGAGAAAAGTCATTCATATTACCCGATGGGCTCACCCCAGCGCAAGATGTCCGCAGTTTGCCGCCGGCTTGAAATCCAGGCGACGCCGAAAACGAGGTTTGGCTGTTATCGAAGTTTGACGATGCGGTCAGCAGTGGCGAGGCCGACCTGGGGAATAAATGATTTTGCGACCGCTGGTCAGGGTAGCAAGATGTTTGCCTGGCTGTCGAGCTACTTCCCGGGTAGTCGGCTCGAGCATTGTGGGCGATGTCAGGTGAGTAGAACTGATCCAGACTTCCGAGATCACACGACTGCTCGCATGATTGATCCGAGAAGCCGTGCTGCTGGTATAGTGGGAACGGTTTCTTCTCTGATCTGCTCTTCTGTTTCTGCTGGAAGTCCGGGTGGACCACACGACTGCTGTTCACGCTCGACGTCTTTCTCTTCCGTCCGTGACCCGTCGCCAGCTGGTCACATTTTCCAGGACCCGACGTCATCACCTGAGCTCTCGGATGGCCGCTCTCCGAGCACGAGACCGAGAAGGGTGAGACTGCGGCGACGACATGATGCTGCTGCTGGGACGGGTAAGGGTGAGGGGCCGGACTGGTGTTGCTCTGCAGGCTCTCCGGAGAGCAGAGACCCGAATCGTGTGACGAGGCGTTGCTGTGGGCCGAGACCTGGGGGCTGGTTGAGTTCGGCCCGGTGTCCACGCTGACGTTCAGCTCGTTGCACGCCGACCTCGCACCGAGTTTCCCCGGTCCGAGTTTGCGCCTTTTCGCGTTGACCAGAACGCCGCTGTCGCCACCCCTCGGGTTCTTCAGTTCCAGAAAGTTGTCCACCACGGAGACTAACCTTTGCTCGTCCTCGGCATCGAGTTTACACAAGCCTCCGTCAGCCTTGACCTTGACTTCCGGTTTCTCGTTTCTGCTCTCCGCGCTTCCTTCGCCGACCTTGACCTCGTCTTCCACTTTGACGTTCTCGGCTCTCACAAGGTCCGCCGAGCTGACCGAGCTGATCTCGTCCACGCCCGTGTTGCTGCTCTCCTTGAAATCGTCGATGTCCTCCTCCCGATCGCTGTCCCCCTTCCCGCCGGACTTGCCCCGCCCGCCGTGGGACTGCCTCTTGTACTTCATCCGCCTGTTCTGGAACCAGACCTTGACCTGCCGCTCCGTGAGGTCGAGCGACGCGGCGATCTCGATCCGGCGTGGGCGGCACAGGTACTTGTTGAAGTGGAACTCCTTCTCGAGCTCCAGGAGCTGGGTGTTGGTGTACGCCGTCCGGAGGCGCCGGCTGCCCGAGGAGTTGCTGGTCGCGGGGGTCGGGGGCTGAGCCATCGATGACACGTCATCACTCAGGTAACCTGGAATAAATTTAAAAAACAATTGTATTTTTTTAAAAAAAATTTTGCTTAATATTATGAAATGGACAGTCTATTTAATTCAATCATATAATATCTGTATTAGTTTTTTAAATTTTTTTTTCTCTGAAAAGCAAAAGAAGAGTAAATGATTTATAAATGGATATATTTAGTAACTTAAAAGTGATTTTCACAGATTTTTTGGTTAAATAAAGAATCATGCAAGAATACAGGATTAGCACGCTGACAACTAAATCACATTGTTGTGATATCATGACATGATATTGTTGTGATATCATACAATGTTATCTTAAGATAAAGATGTCTGAGTGAGCCACACCGCAGATTCCCTCACCCCCACCCCCACCCCCGCGCGCAGCACCTGCGTTCTACGTCACTGCATCTAGCGTTCTGTTATCGTCCGCCATTGACAGGCGCAAGATTTCCCCCCGGTCTATCGCCACAGCCCGGCCGTCGACGCAAATATGACCAGCTGAACTCTGAGAAGGTGATAGCCGGAAACAGACACGATTTGGTGCTCGGGGGATGGAATAATTCAGAGCGGTAGTGTCCCCCTTCGATTGTCTGCCCTGATTATTAAGTCTATCTTATGTAAAACTGCTACACCTCTCCAACAGGACATAGGCATGAGTCAAATATTTCCCTTTGACTTATATAAAAATGTTGTATTAGAAGGGGTTCCAACATTTTTGGATTTTGAAATTTTCTAGTAATACTTCAAAGGCCATGGCCACTACGAACGTATTACCAAGCTATATAATACCGTTCTTCAAAATCGGACCTATTTCAAATAAATCGGTACACTAACTCGCTGCCTCTTATGTAACGTTTTGCTCTTGTCAAACCCCAGAGGAAAACGGGCCAATGGCAGACCTAGGCCTAGATGGATGGATGATGCGGAAAAAGATCTACCACAGCTGGGAAGCCAAACATGAACACGTAAAGCATTAGGAAGGAAGCAGTGGTGCAGGCCAAAGCCTTTACAAAGGCGGTATTGCCTCTAAAAATCCCTCTAAATTTCAGCGAAATATTGAGTTAAAATTATCATAATTCATATTGGCATTAGGGCCGTAAGGGAAGCTTTTTGAGCCATTTGTAAAATCGAGAGCCAAAATTCTAGGGAAATATACTGGTCTATCATCCCTCATCCCTGTGGCGCTACAGCCCATGTGGTGCTTTGGCCTGCCTCACCACTTCCTTCCACTCAGACCGAACTAATGCTTTTCTTTTCCAGGCTTGGATTCCTATCGGCTGAGGCTGTATATCTTTTTTCCCCGTTCTCCATCCAGCTAAGCCCAGGTCTGCCTCTGAGGCGTTTCCCTCTGGAGTTCTTGGGGGTGCACCCTCTTCACGCCTCTGTCATTTGGCATTCTCTCTAAGTGTCATAACATATAGTCTAAGTCAGCAGACAAAGTTAGATAAGAGGGGGAGGGGAGAGAAAGAGGTAGGGAGAGAAAGAGGAGGGAGAGAAAGAGGTAGGGAGAGAAAGAGGTAGGGAGAGAAAGAGGCAGGGAGAGAAAGGGGTAGGGCGAGAAAGAGTTAGGGAGAGAAAGAGGTAGGGAGATAAAGAGATAGGGAGAGAAAGAGGTAGGGAGAGAAAGAGGCAGGGAGAGAAAGAGGTAGGGAGAGAAAGAAATTGAGACGCAGATAGAGTTTTTACAAATAAAAATTGAGGGGGGGGGTGGGGTAAGGCAGGAGGAGTGAGAGAGAGAAAGATATAGAGAGACACAGAGTTTTTTTTAAGGGAGGGGGACAGGACAGGAGGAGAGAGAGAGAGAGACATAAAGCGGGAGGAGACAGAAAGTACGGGGAGTAACTCAAACTGGTTTATATGGATAAATGAATGTTTCCCCCCCCCCAACCTTTTTTTCAATGAAGTCACAGGAAGGAAAAAAGGTATATTTAAATTACCGTAACTGCAACAAAAATTGAATGGAGGAGAAAAAAAAATGGGGTCACTCACCTTGGTGACACCTCTACCGCACAATCTGTCACCGTCATGTGACATTACAATGACCAAACGGTTTTGTGTGTGTGTGTGTTACTTTTTGAACCTAGGTGTAAGGGGTACGAGTAATCCTATAGGCACAATCTCCCCATTTCAAATGGGTAGGACGTATCCATTCCGGGACTACCCGTACTTAGCTGGAAGGGCGCAGTAACCGTGCGTCAATGTATCAGGCTCCGGGGATTCTCTTAACGTCAAGTCAAGCCTGAATCTGAGCTAGCGGCCCCCCCCCCCCCCCACAAACCTTTCCCTACA